TTAACAAGAGATTTGTAAATTCTTACCATTTGGCACTTGAGTTGCGCGCAAGTTGAGCGCTTTATAATAATGCCTAATCCCAAATTCATTGAGTAATGTACATACGTCGCTAGCGTTAACAGGATTCAGAAAAATATTCTGAAAGAATATATAAAATTCGAGTCCGAGTTATCGATCTATAAATACATACTCTCATTCTAAAATTGATTACAAACCGATAAAAAGAATCCGCGACGACATTGGTACCTACGTCTGTAAAAAACAGTGGATTTTTATACAAATTGATCAATAGGCATTGGCCTCGCTAAACTTTTTAAAATCAGTCAAAAACCATTACTTAAATTTTTACATAATTTAGATGGGTTAATTCACATTTTATTAATACCGAATTTTACTAAAGCTATAATTAGTTAACAATTACCACGTAGGAAAGGAAAGGGTTTACTGAAAACTCAAAGCTCACTTTATTTAAGCGCCTCTGTCAAAAGTCATATGTATGTATATACATATTTATGTATACGCAGTAACGCTAGCGATGTCTTATATCAACGGTGCTCCCTTGAGTAACATCCTAACTGTTCTTGAAAATGGTACTGCTTTTTGTCCAATATCACTCATCATCTGCTTGTAAATTCATCATTCATCAAATAAAAAAAAAAACAATCTTTTAATCATTGAACAGCTCACAGAACTGAGACTTTTGGATCTATAGGAAATCGGAAAAAAACATCACAATCATCACAGCACACCACTTCGCCCCGCATATGCTCGTTTCTGCTTGCTTGAGCTTTTCCTTCAGCTGTGACAGTGGTTGCATCCGTGCGAAAACTAAACAAAAATCAAAAATTCTATAACAAACAAAACAATCATAAATTTCAAAATACAAAAAAAAAACTAACTAAATTTCCTATTTTGCGAATCGTTTCTAATTGTTTTATGCTATCAATTGCTATGAACCTTTCCGAAGACTAACTAATCTAGTTTCTTAGAGCAAGCAAATGGATGTGATTAATGGAAAAAATCGTCATTCCCTTTTTTTAGATGTCTCCACCCGCGAACCTCGGCATGCTGGCGGCGCAACGCACAAACTCCCAACAAACCACAGCAGCAGCGGCGTCAATGGCAACCTCTCTGTCGCATCAGTCACAACACAAACGGAGCCTGTCGTTCAATCATCATCTCAGCTACAATCAATACACGCACAATCAGCCTCCACCACCTCATCATCATCTTCCACCACCGCCACAAAGTCTACCAAATCATCCGGTGGCGCCAAGCCACAAATCAAATTTAGTCCCGACATCGAGCAGTATTTCAAAGAGCCAACACCAAGCGGCAGCGGCGGCAAGCATGGCGGCACCCACAAGCGCAAGGATAGGAAACACAAAAGGTATGTATAATTACCAAATATTTAATTAGAAATTGGCACTCACTTACTGATCTCTTAACCGCAGCTAATTGGAGCATAAGAAATCTGCGACCAGCACCACCATTGCGTCCCAATCTGCTCAATGCAACGACGCATAGTGGCGGCAGCGGCGGTACTAGTGGCAGTGGCAGCGCTAACGCGCTCGCCAGTTACTGCTGCGGTCGGCGGTTACAGCCAACTTTTGAGGAAGATGTACTGGTTTTGAGAGTTTTTGAGGGCTACTGTGCTGCCTTTCAGAATACTGCGCGCAACACCATACATTCGGGTAAGTGGCACCACTTAAACTAACTACTACTACTACTGCTACTACTACATACTCATTCGAAGTACTTATTCATATTGCACATTGCTTAACGGTGGGTGCATCTTCTATTACGACTTTCCTCACCTCATTTCACTATTGCTTGTGGTTATGTTGTTTGGAGAAAAATTTTAAAAGTTTTGGTTGCCATTTTGCACAAAATGCGTTTTGCAAGAATTTTGAGCAAAAATTGTGGAGCGCTTGCACAGCGTTCAATATTGTGTGCTCAGAGTGCTTGCCGCTGCATTGAAATATTCTGCTTTTTGTGGGTTTTGCTGTTCGTTATTTCGTTTGCAAATTTTTTTGGTTCTAAAACTAAGTACACGCCTTTTTTGCGAATCATAAGCTACTGAAATATATAAAAAAAAAAAAAGAAAAGCAAAAGAAAAGAAAAACATAATGATAATTAAGTTTTAATATCAAAGCAAACATTAAGTGCCGCGCTTTTTCACTATTAATTCTTAGAATGCTGTCAAATAATGATTTGAGTTAAAAACCTGGAATTCTTATTGTTAGCGCTAAACAGTAATACAAATATTCCTTAGTTTTACATCTTGGTTTAGAATAAGCAGTACTGTTGTTTTATTTTTATTAGAAATATGTTATTAACTACTATTAAATCGTTATTTAATAAAACAAAGCAGTAAATTAAAGTTAATTTGTTCACACTGATTCACAAATATACGCAAACACAACAGTAATGAATCATTTCCATTAAATATTATATAGGAAAGTGGTATAGAAAAGAAAAAATTGTAAAAACGATTATTTAATTTTAGTTCCTTAGTTTAAATTAAAACTAATTGGAGTATAATAAAATGTTAACTGTGTAACGAGTATTTTATAATTGTAATTATTGATTTGTAATTACTTATCATTTTTAATGTCTTTTACATCAAATTTTTAGTTACTCACCATTGGGTTAGTCATTCGGGGTTATTAATATGTTCCCATTTGTTCACACATCGTCTGTCTATATTTATCTAATTTGTGCTGTTTCAAGTAATGTTCTGTATTAATCTGCTCATTAATTTTTGTTATTACCGTGCTTGATTACAACCATCTGGCGTATTCTCTTAGTGAACTAGTTGGTTGTTCATATCCAAAAAGGAATGCCTTTCAACAAACATACAGTTGTCCACAAAATAATAGGAGTGCGATATTTTGACCAGTTTT